GGTATTTGGACTTTTCTTAGCTCCAGGTTTTGGTTTCCAGTCTATCTGACATGCACCCTACACTCAGAGGTCACATCCTTAATATTAAACTACAGGTACTAATTATAGTTATGTGGATCTGTTCTCTTTCACTGGGCAAAATTCCTGCAGTGGTCTCTAGCTCATGTCCATTCTCTACATATATTCAGAAATCACATGGGACAGTACTTGTAAACTGTGGCTAAAAGTTAAGGAAAGAAACAATTTAACAATTTAATAGAAGAGATAAAACAGTATTCATGCCTTGAAAGGGCTCCATTTAATCTTGTAGGTTAGAGGTAGCCTGAGGCATGAGCTCTGCATTGGCAGCAGAAATCCAAAATCCCCGTTTTCATGAACTGAGTTAGTGCCTGTTGAAGCTTCTTGTTTGTGGCATTTGTTTTTGCAAACCAAAATTATTTTGGTTTTGTTTTTTCCTTTAGAGAATCTTTTAAAGAAATTGAAGGGCAAGGATACCAATAAATACTGAAATACTTCTAGTGTATGAATGGTCTTTAGGTATCATTGCTTGCACTTACAAAGCCTGTTTTAAGTCTGCTGTTGTCTTCAGCACCAGATTGTCAGATCTGTCAGATTACTTTGCCAGTAATCTGGGAGCAAAGCATAAGGACTAGCAGATACTGCCTCTCCAAAGGTGGGATGTTCATGTCTGGAGGAGGTAGGTTGTCAGTGGCAGGAAATGGTGATAGGAGAAATGTAGATCATGCTGTGTTGAGTTGTCTTTTCTGACAATTTTATGTAGCCACTCAATACAATGAATGCCCTTCTAAAATGGTAATCATGCTCTTTTTTAAATTATTTTTATGTTTTGTCATTAATCACCAGGAATTTTCAGTATGATTACAAATAAAAATACTATGCTCAAAATCAGATCTATTCTGCTGATGACACACAACCTTGAATGAAATCTAAATCTCATTATTTGACTAAGCTATGCCATGATAACAAGAAAGTGTAGAACTAAAAATGGACTTCTTTTGATAAAGAGTGTAATTTCGTTTGATTCTGAAAGCACATAAAACCAGGATGCTGCATTACAATGTGTTGTTTTCTGCATATTCATTTTTACATTCGTAATATTTCCATAGTATTTTGAATTTCAGTGATGAATTTATCTTGGTATTGATATCTACATGAACATTTCTAGTATACAAGCTGAGAAAATAATGTCCCTGGGCTGCTCCGTTCCCGCATAGGAAAGGTACCTGTAAAGCTCTCTCTTCTCCAGGCTGAACAACCCCAGCTCTCTCAGCCTGGGAGAGCCTCTCTCAGCAGGGGAGGTACTCCATCCCTCTGATTATCTCGGTGGCCCTCCCCTAGACTTGTTTAAAAAGGCCCACATCCTTATGCTGGGAGCCCCAGAGCTGGACACAGTACTTTGAGAGCAGAGCAGAGAGGCAAATTCCCTCCCTTGCCCTGCTGGCCACACTGCTTTTGATGAAGCCCAGGTTACAGTTGGCTTTCTGGGCTGCAAGCACACATTACCAGGTCACACCAAGCTTCTCATCTTCATTCCCTAACCCTGCTCTTAATCTGTTCTCCGCCCAGCCAGTGTTAGTGCTTGGGATTGCCCAGACCCAGGTTCAGGACCTTCAACTTGGCCTTGTTGAACTTCATAGTGTTCCCACTGGTCAACTTCTCATGCCTATTAAGGTCTCTCTAGATGGCATCCCTTGCCTCCAGTATCCACACAGCTTGGTGTCATTGGCAAACCCGCTGAGGGCACACTCAATGCCACTGTCTGTGTTGCCAAGAAAGATGTTTAACTGCACCAGCCCCAATACTGATCCCCAAGGAATGCCACTCATCATTGGTCTTCACTAGAAAATCTACCAATTTAATAAATTTTTGAGCTTGACCACGAGCCATATCTTTATCCATCAGATGCCAATTCATCAAATCCATGCCTCTCCAGAAGAAATGTGAATGTCTGTGTCCCCTGTAAAAGAAGTTGTCTGGTACATATTCATGTGCAAGTGTAGTAGCTAATTTGACAGCTTAAGGAGTGATATGTTTCTGCATTCCTTGGGGTGGAATCATTAGCACAGGTAAATCTCTGTGCTGCTGACAGCAAATTTATTTGACACAGAGTTTATGATCTAGTAGATGTAAATGTCTGCTGTTAAACCAATGATGGATGAAGGAAGAGAACAGCTTATCTCACAAGATTTCCAGTTGGGATAGAAATAATCTATCTTGCGAAATGTTGACAAGTTCACTTCTAATCTTAGTTAGAAAATTGAGGCTGGAAGAGATAGTGCTGAAAAAATAATGGGGTGAAAATCTTTTCTAACTTTTCAAAGCATTTCCTACATCCATTCTTAACTTGCTACAAAGTGCTTTGGGAGTTGCAGAGCTGTTCAATCACTTTCATATTAACAGAAAAGCCCCATGTGCACAGCTTTTCTAAGAACTATTTCCTGTGCTAAAGAGAATTTTGGGCTATTACTATCAGTATAAAGTAGTTCACTGTTTAGAGATTTATTTAAGTGTGAGGGAATCTTAACTGATTCTGAACAGCTTTGCCACTGTGCCTCTTACAGTGTCACCTTTCTGACATTTTTGATTGAAATAAAGAGAACACATAACTAACAGTCTTTAGCTTCTACACTACTCAACTTTTTTAAAAGTGGGTTTTGTAGAGCTGCAAATGTAGGTCTATAAGAACAGTCATCAAGATAGTATTGATCTGTCCCAGGAGGATATGAAAAAAGTTTTTAAAACCCGTAAATAAGGGTATAAGGAGAAGAATGTTTAAGATATACCTCTGAAACAGTAGCAGATGAGAGATGAAAAATATGTGAAAATTATGGTATTGTGAAGAGGATACCACAGCCTGAGATATTTCCCAAGAGCAGATTATAATTCTACTATTTTTTCCTTAATATCTGTCCAACTTGTAGTAGGAGATTGTGAAAGCCAACACAGTCAATGACCTTAAACTGACATATAAAAATAGTATGAAAAGGTCTAATTATTGCAAAGGTCACAGGATAAAAATTTTGTTTCAATTCTGTTGTTTCCAGGAGCCGATGGAAATGCAACAGAGCTATCAAAATTCCTCAGTGGCTTTCAGAAATTCTTGGCATTTACTTTGTTGATTCAACATATTAGAATTTATATATCTTGCAATAAGGGCATCATAGTTGAACTTATAAAAAAATGGAAGACAAAAATAATATATATCTAATAAAGCACTTGCTAAAATTAAGGGAAGGAAAGCATTTCAAGGAGGCATAAAAACTGTCTCCAAATGAAACAAGAAAATTGCTATTTTATGAAAAATTATGATTTAGTAGCATACAGCTCCTACAGAAGAAACTGAAGTAAGATTTAACACCAAAATACTTTATATAAGGAAAATGCTGCTTAAGTATTTTATATTACATATTTCTACATAAAAGCATTTTATATCAGGTCATTGTATAATTTTAAATACATACTGACTGAGCTCAAAATACCAAAAACAAGTGTAAAATCTTTAAAATTCTTTTAAATAGTTGAAGTTTGAAATTTCCATTGGCAAAATATTTTCTGTCAAAAAGAAGTCTAAGGGACATGCATTTTCAATAATCCTGATTGTTAAAAAAGGTCAGATCGGGAGCTTTTTATTATTTTTGTATGAAATAAAAGTATCCAATCAATAAGTCTCAGGCTTTTACTGCATCTTTTGAGGTCAAAAATAATAAATAAAAATGTTTGAGCTTTTAGTATCACTTCACTGAGCAGTGTTTATCCTTACTCCTACACTTTATCTTTCTACATCTCCCTCCACCACAGTCAATTTCAGGTTAAAACAGACTTTTCAGGTTAAAATAGACTTTACTGAAAACATACGTTTTCTTGCAAACCTCAACCACCACATGATTCCACATTTAATAGGATATGATGTTCTGTCACACCATTTTTACCCTAAAATAATTCTGATTATTTTGTTGAGTTACTAATTTTTTTTATATTATTGAAGCTGAGAAGAGATTTAGCTGTAGTATCCCACAAATTGCATGAAATTTGTTTCCTAAACAAAAGTTTCACTTTATCCATGTGATTCAGTGTAAAGTTGATTTTGCAACATTTAATCAGAATGGAGGAGCTTTTTCATATAGATTTGTTTTTATACAGACAGCTTCCTAAACTCCAGAAGGTATTCTCCACAGAAGGGTCTCTGCTCTTTTCTCCACATATAACTGTTTTAGCAATCATAATGAGACATCTATCTCCTGGTATGTCTTTGAGCATGATTCAAATGAAGAGACAAATTTGAGAACAAAAATAATGTCTATAGAAGCTATATATCTATATATCTCTATAGAAGCTGTATATCTATATATCTATAATCTACATAAGGTTGACTTTCTTTTATATTTCAAGTATAAATTTACAGGTAGAATATAAGTGAACTTTCAAAGTGTTCACAAGATTTCTGATCTTGTTGAGAAGAATAAATATCTGCTTAAGAGAAAACACTTGCAAACCCAGATTTTCTCATTCTCCAAGGAGTGATGCATTTGGGATGGGAAATAGATGCTTTCTAAGTGGATGACAGAGTAGCAGTTAAAGATCAGTGTGCATTTCTTTAGATCCTAAAGGGAAATCTTCAGAACAATTGCAATTCTCCTCAACAGAATATGACTTGAGATCATAGTTTATTTCACCATCTAAGTTACTATCCAAATCTTCTCTATTAGAAATACATTATTGGCTTCATCATGTAGAAACTTCTGTGTTTAAAAAATGTAATTTCTCTCTGTTAACAAAAACTGATATTTTGAAATCCTTACGCATTACAGTAAAAAATTTTTGGAAAGTTTTATGGCATCAATTCAGAAGAGGTAAAAACTAGACAGGTGTTTAAGGTATGCTGTCCCTTTTCACTGCCTCTTGCTCATTTTCAGGGACTTGAAGGTGCCTTTGCAAACTTCCAGATGTTTGACTTACTGATATAAAATGTTTTCTTTCAGATATCAACATGGCAGGAGAACCAAAACCATACAGACCAAAACCTGGCAACAAGCGGCCACTTTCAGCACTTTACAGGTAAGTGAGATTTCACTTTAACTTACCCGAATACAATTTTTATCAGAAAAATTATGGTAACCTAAAATGTATCTCCCAATGGCACTGTGCAATGTTTACCAAAATTATAATGAAATCTGAGTACTTATTAATGCTCCCACTCCTAGTACTATTATTAATATTTTTTTTCTTTCTTAATTGAGTGTTATTTAAACTTTTAGTCCTTATGATTCTGTGCTTGGTTATGGACTCATTTTTGTGACTGTTTTATTTGCAATGATCAGTGAAATAACTAACAATTTCAGAGCAATAAAATTGGTTTCTCACAGATTTTTTTGTCAAGGGTGAGAACCAAGTTTGGACTGGATTTCTTCCTTGGCTGTTCAGGAGGGTATTGATAGTGTGTTTATCCTATTCCCAGGTGACTTTTGTCATAGAGCTTTTACAAACTTGAGGAAACATCCACTTTTTTTTTCCAAATCAATTATGTTTAGTGAAGCATTACCGATTGTTAGGGCTACTATGCCCACATGTATTTCTGCTCAATAAACCTTACATCTCATAAAAGTACTTCAGAATTTATGCTCCAGATCCATGGAAGGAATTAAGGCTGATTTCTACTGCAGCTGAAATGTAAAGAGACTGGCTCTGAGAGCAACAACACAGGAGTGAAATCAGACACATTGAAGAAGTTTTTTTTCATGCCTTGTCTGGTCTGAAAACTTCAGATGGAAATTTGAGGGTGGCATCTCAGAATAAGACAACCAGAAGCATTTTAGGTCTGAGCCTCCATGCTACATAGAAGAGATTTGAGTTTCACCATATAGCTGTCCATAGCTGAAGTGATAGAAATATTATTTTTGGAGAAGAGAATCCCTGTTTCATCATTACTCTCAACTACAAACTACTAAACTCTGTAGGTGTTCCTGGTAACCTTGGTCTACTCTGTCCCTGTTCCAGTATTTCAAAAGATTTTAAAAGATGTTCTGTGATTTCTGGCATTTATGTTCATTTCTACCTCTGAGCTTTTGAAGGCTTTCTCACAAATACTTGTTCTACAGAAAAGATAGGGATAAGAGAGACCGTGGAAAGTTCTAAAGGAATTTTAAAGAGGAAAAATATCTTAGATTGTGTCCTTTCATGGATGTAGTGCAAACTATTTCTCTAGAAGATCATGAGGCTTTTATGAGCAACTAAGAGAATCCTTCCATTGCTCCCTTCATCTTAATTTTGCCTCTGCTCTGACCTTGTAAGACCCCACCTGGAGTACAGTGTCCTGCTCTGGAGTACTGATCACGCACAAGGACTTACAGGGGGCTTATAAAATAGAACACCTTTTTACGTGGATAGATAGTGATAGGATAAAGGGGGAACTATTTTCCACTAAAAAAAGAAGGAATTTAGATTAGATGTTAGGAAGAAATTCTACACTCAGAGGACAGTGAGGCACTGAAACACTGAACAGAGGGTAGTTGTGGGAGTCCCATTGCAAATATTCAGGGCCAGGTTGGATGGGGTCCTGAGTAATCTTATCTGGTGGATGGCATCCCTGCCCATGCTGTGATGGCTGTAACTAGATGACATTTAAGGTTCCTTCCAACCCCCTTTACCATTCTATGGTATGGTCCCTTCCAACACAAACCATTCTCTGATTGTATGATAACGAGGAACTTTTATTATCTCAGTGTCGCTTAACATAATATGTGAAAAGATCAGTGATTAATAAAGTTTTGGCAACACTGGGAACATTTACTTATTTCAGAACATTGTAACTGGTTCTGACTGGGATGGAGTTCACTTTCCTCATAGAATCCTATAAGTGTTTTGGATTTGTTTCTAAAACACACCAATGTTTTGCCTGTTGCTGAACAGTGCTTGCACAGTCTCATGATTTTCTCATTTTCCTATTCTGCCTTTGTAATTAAGAGGCTTGGTGTGGGCAAGGAGTTATGAAGAAATATATCTGAGATAGCTGACCCAACCTGGCCAGAGAGACATTCTCTCATATAGTCAGAAATAAAAATTGGGAAGCTTTTTCTTCCAAAGCAGCTGTTGCTTGGAGATTGCCTGGACAGCTTATGGGACATGAAAAGTAATTGCCTTTGTATCACTTGGATTTTTTCCCTTCTCCCTTCCCCTATTACACTGCAAATATCTCAATCCATTAGGTTTTTCAACTTTTGATCTCTCCTTCATCCTGATAGGGGACAATGGTAGGGGAGTGAGACAGTGATCATGTGGGTGCTTAGCTGCTGGCCAGCATCCACCCACAAGACTGAGACAGATAAGAGGGAAGTAGTTACAGTAGATTTGATTTTCACTGAGAGACATTGGTTAAAAAATTTAGTTGTCACAAAATAGTCACTGTTAAAAGGAAGGACTGTAAGTAGAAAGAGGATAACAGATTTCTGAAAGGACAGAATTAAACGAGTTCAGAGTTCTGGTGAGTAGAATGATTCTTGGAAAGAAATTTGAGGGACAAAAGAAGTGCAGAAAATCTTGCACTGAATGTGCTTAATGTAGAACATAAAATTCTCCTGAAGCAGAAAAAAATCAAAAGAAAAATATGACAGAATCAACTTTCTCTAACATTCTAAAAATTGAAAAGGAATTGTACAAAATGTGGAATCAAAACACCATGACTGGAAGTAGAAAAGAAGAGCAGTCATCCTACAGGATGTCAGAAAGGTTAAAGTACATAATAGTATAAAAGATAACAAAAAATTTTCATTAGAGTAACATCCTCTGATTTTTAGTTAGGAGGAAAAGAGAGCAGATGATACAGAAAAGACTCCTTTTACTTCATCAAAAGCGGTTAACTGACCAGCTATTAAAGAAAATAAATTTTTACCAGAAGGTATGCAATAAAAAAATTGGCTAACCAATGTTTGACTAAGTGAATTTGATGAAAATGATCTGATCACGTTCACTGTAGTGTGTTCAAAGGATTAGCTGAATCTGTGTGTTGACTATTAGTGATTCCTTCCAAAAATTTATGGATGTCTTGTAAGGTAAGAAATAGTGGGTATGGGAGGTGCTATATCTATTTTTGAGAAGAAGAGATCGAGAAAATGATTAGATGAGACTAGCTTTGATTCTAAAAAATGTACTAAAACACATTATTAGAAATCAATTTATCAAGACCAAGAAGTTAATAAATTGGTTAAAATATCAGGAGCATATTATGCTGAAGCAACATAATTTCCTTCTTTGACAAGACAGCAAATTTAATGTAAAAAGAGATGTGCTATAAAGACATTGTCATGGTTTAGCAGTGACATTCCCAATTTAGTACCCTCTGAGACTCTCCCAAATGAGATTCCACTTGCTTGCTCACATCCCTTTCCTTTCCCCTTCCTGTTCCAGGGATAGAGTTGAGAATTGGAGGCACAAAGGGGTGAAAATTGCAGTTTTAGACAAGAACAATTTACTGGAAACAGAAATGAAATTTAAAAAAAAAAAAAGAAGAAAAAAAAAGGAACAGTGGCAGCAAAAATATTAATAACAAAAGGTATAAGATAAAAACTATTTACACAGAAAGCCCAATACCGACCAGCTTTTCCACACCACACCACACCACACCACACCATGCCACACTTTCTCCGAACTGGAAAAGGAATGCCTTTCTTTCCAGAAACCAGAGAAAAAGTCCTTTTCCCCTGTCCCTGGCAGTGGTGTAAAATGGTGTTCAACAATATTTGGGTGATGGCCAGGCCCACTCAGCAGAGCACACAGCAACCCACAGCTCCTGGGCTCAAGCAGTCCGATCCAGTGGGCTCAGTATCCTGGCTGCTGGGACCACAGACACACACCACCACTTCTGGCTACGGTAAAAAAATAACTCTGTCCTGGACGAAACCAGGATTAACAAGCTTTGACGCTTACTTTTCAGTTTTTATAAGCATGTTCAGGAAAGTTTTGTAGAAGAAACTGTCTTACGGTCGACATCCAATGGAAAAACAGTGACTGTGTACGACACAGTATTAAGGAATATAACTGTTACCTTTTCAGTTTCCTTACTTACAGATTTTTAAATATTTTTCATATGTGAGACAACATAAAGAGCAATTTTAAGATAAGCAAGCAGGAGCGCTGCACAGGCTTGCAGGGTTTTGTTTACTTTGAAGTACCTGAGGCTTCAAAAAGGTTCAAAGTTTGCATTTATGAAAAGAAGTTTGTATCACATTTATAGGTGGATATATACATAAGTCCTTACAGAGCAACTGATGTCTATGATGTGTTATAACCTCATCATTTGCTTGTGTGTCCAAGTCATTAGATTCATTTTTTCCTGTAATGGTATAATACTCTTTGATATCTCAGTTCAGGACCTACATTCCTTTATTTTAACTTTTCTAGTTTTATTATCTGTGTGAAAATAATCTCATTTAATCTTACCTATGTGAAATTTAGCATGAGCCTAAATGTGAGACACACAACTTTTTTTAGGTGCAAGATAAGATATAATAATAATAGTTATTATTATAAGATATATTATTATACAGGCTATAATTATAATAATAATAAAAGGACTTCCATTTTATGCTTAGGCCTTAAAAATATTTTGAGAACACTTAGTCTTTACTTCAGAAAGCTGTTAAACACATTATTAATTTTAAGCATGCTCATTGAATATCTTAAAATGTACTTAGAGTAGTGCTCAGGAATGAGTTAAATTCTACAATAGCTGTAAACTCCATCACCATCTATCCTAATTTACATTGCATTGAGGGGCGATCTAAATCCCATAAGATTCAAAATTGTTCTGAATTTTCTTTTGAGCACACCACTTCTGCAGAAAATCACATGCTTAAAAAATCTGCATCTTAAAATTGTTTTGCATCTTGTTGTACTGGTCTAGCCTCCAGCAAAAATTAATTGTACCAGCAGCACATCGTAGTATCTTTGAAACACAAGGTGAAGATTGAAGGTGCTGACATAAATGTGTTAAAGCACTCTTTGGGAGCAATGTTTTGGTAAAATAAAACATCACACTTTGTCTTTTTCATTTAGTGATGTTT